TTTTTGTTCATCGTTTTTTGCGTTTTTTTTTTCTCGTTGTTATCGCTTTATTCTAGAGTAGTTCTATCAATTCCCGTCAACAAAGGGGTATCTTAACTTTTTCGTGAACGGTGCCTTTAAGCAAAATGTCGTTTGAAACGAACGCTCATACGAGTTACTTATAGAAAAACAATTTGAAAAAGCTGTTTTTCTCATCAACTAGTTCTGGTTTTCCAGTACACTGTAACATGCTAATACTACTCAGTCTGCACCTTGCAAAATCTAGTTTTCCGCTAAAGTTCACCCAACAAACGCGCAAGCGCAACTATCAATCATTGAATGCAGTTGGGACAAATATGAATCCGGAGTGGTTCGAAATTGTAACTCCGACTCGGTGAAACCAGAAATGCATGGAATCTCAAGGTCACCGCTCCTCTTTGGACATTATCTTACCGGGACTTGCAATGAGTAAAAGCCTCCGGACTGAATGTGAGGAATCGTGTAAGAAAGTGTGATTCGGATGAGAAATTACACTATCTACAGAATTGAGTCGACGTTATTTCCAGGCCCGAGAATCAGCAATTCGCACTTTGTTTACTATGACATATGCAGCCTGGCAGCTGGTACTCCCTGAGACTAAACAGACGTTAAAGTCTCAAATTTTCGTTTGAAACACGATGCAATCTCCACGATAATACCACAACAACAAACTACAACCTCGCGGTTTGTCCTTAACATATCAAGATCCCCGAGTAAAAGAAGCAAGAACTATTCTTGCGGAACCCCGTTGACAGCCCTGTCGTCATTTACAACTAATTCTTCTACAACAATACAACGAACGCCGTCTTTGCAAAGGCATATTACCCTTGCATCTACAAGCACTACACTCACCCTCTCTACACAAATGTGCCACGGCGTTTTTGCCACCGTAGTAATCGCTAAATAGTAATTCAAGAATCATTATCATGAAAAACGAATTTCTTGCCACATACCTGAGGCGATACCAATGAACTTCTCTTTGATTGCTCTTCTACAGTTGCCCAAGGAGAGTCCTCGTCAGCTGTTGCACCAGATGCTAGGCCATCCACGTCCGTAAAAGAGGGTCTGTGAAAATAACGGCTGATATTTTGAGTAAAACCGCAAATAGATTCCCTAATTGATCCTGCTAAGAACAAGTTGGTTTCCTCACATTCCTCACACGCTTCCTTTTTTTTTGAGACCACAGCTCTGGGGAAGTTCTTGAAATCAAAGGATAAAAAGACCGAACTCAACGGCTCTTGCCCAAGTGAGGGGAACAGATAGGAACCAGGTGATAACTTCTCTATTGCTCTAAACTATTGCTTTGAATATGTACTGTCGAGCTGTCGCTACCGTAGACAAAGCCTGGGAACTAGTAAAATTGACCTTTCTAACACCAATACAAGCAAAATGGGATAAGGGCAGAGTCGAACTTTATTCTGCCACTTACACAAGGTATTTAATCTTGCCATCCAATTGCAGAAGGAAAACGAGTACCTTATTCCTCCACGGCTCATGAGTGTACTTTTGCAGGCAAGCAACCAACTATGAGCAGTAATCTCCAGGAATGTACATTCATCACGCACAACCACTGTGTAATCCGGAATGAATCCAAGCTTCTGCAATGTACTTCCAGTTTTTCATTAATTATCATAGGATACGCAAAGCTGCAGGCGACTGCAGGGTCGTGAATAATCTAAAGCTTAATAGCCTCCAGAGTTCACTAAACAACGGCAATACCTTTGACGTATCACTGACGAGAGAGTTTCTGGAATGTTCCACATCGCCCAATGCACGAGAATCACATTCGCGTTTGGCCACCAAACGTTCCAACATTTCCGTTCCAAATGCAAACCATGGCCCTGCCTCGAACATCATCTCGTCCTATTAAAAAATCAATACAATCGATCTAAGGGCAACTTATAAGTAAAATAAATTAAAACAAAAAATAGGAAAGCTATGTATGAAAGTTAAAACCGACTTAATACATGGTCCACCTAATTTGAACAGTAAAGCCGAGCAGAAAAAAATGAACCTGCCCAATTGTGACTAACGCTCGACCCTCCAATACGAGGATGAACTTTTCCGAATATTCCTGTTTGGTATATAGTTTGGCAGTCCGGGGAACCACAGCCTTTGGCTCATACATATCAGGAAGATGAGAAAGCTCCACCTGGAAATAATTGTTGTAAGAAGCTCTAGCATGTGCTATCGGCCTTGCAAATCCACCAAAATAACAAACACGAAAAACTTTTGTACAAACATTCGATCAATACTAAATCATATACGAAAATACGTCCCTTCAACATTTCTCCTGTTTCACTTGAGTTAGACTAGAACCATGGCCAGGACATGCCACGACTGTAGTCTTAAACCAATGCCCCATAAAAATCAATTTCAACCTACACGGCGACAGTGCTGACGGATCAGCTTCTCCAATACCGACGGACTGATCAGATCAGTACTGAAGGCCTTGTGATTTGTTGTTAACCATTGCATGGTAACTAGTTGCATCTGGACACTAATTACACGAGAAGGTTCATCTGTATCCACGAAGCAAGACAAATCTTGAGCCTGAAACGACTGTAGCAATATAAATTAAAACTTTAAAAGATGCGGCTAATTGTTA